GTCATCTTTATTGTTTTTAGTGATGCACCCAAATGTAAAGGAATTTGTAGGTTGCACCTTTTTGACAGAATATAAGCAGCACTGTGAACACTGTTACTTTGTCAGCACTTTGTCAGTCAAGTGATTTGGAAGCATGCTTGTTTGATGAAGTTGTCTGACCTCGGCCGATTAAATGGTGTTCTAATCTCCAGTCTGTTTCACGATTTCTTCACTGGATTTATACAAACAGAAATAACCCCACCTAACACCGCTACTTATATAAGTGAGAGGATTTTTGACTTTCACTTTCAAGGCTCAAGAGGGGATTTCTGTGAAATGCTTCACTTCTTGTAAGGCTGGCTGTGTGTGTGTGTGTGTGTGTGTGTGTGTGTGTGTGTGTGTGTGTGTGTGTGTGTGTGTGTGTGTGTGTGTGTGTGTGTGTGTGTGTGTGTGTGGGAGTATATAAAAGAGCTGAACTGAAAAGCGACTCAGCTCGTCTCTGCTTCCTGCTGTAAGTACACTTTTGTCTTTATTGAAAATGCACCAGTTCTGCTGTTTGCTGTGAAATCAGCGTCTGGTTGTTTGACCGCTGTCTTTAGATGTATTGTGATGATTTGATGATTAATGATTTAAACAGTAATGCAATAATTACTTTGGATGTAACTAAAGAAACATTTGACATTTCTGACTGAAACTTGCCCAGGGTCTAGCAGCAACATAAGGCTGTGTTTTGAGGTATATGTTTTTAGAGATGACAGTGTTTCGGTGTCAGTCAGTCCGACAATTTGTTCCAGACTGAAATTTCTTAACTCATTATTTCATTGACTGATGTCAACTGTATTTTTTTTTTTTTTTTACCTGACTTGCATACTGACGTAGTTGCCGTCTGTTTTTATTGAGGCTGCTTGGGTACATTTCCTCACCTCACTTTTATTCATTGTTTCTATTTTTACAATATATTCTTCACTATTTATTGTTATATATCTTTGTTTAGGCATGCGCATATTTGTCATTTAAAATATTTAACCTCATGATTTGCTGTTTATGTAAGTATTTTGTTATTGTGTTATCAAAACAGTGCATGAGTATATAATTACCATTCATGTAACCTCAATAAACTTCCTGTTTCATTAACAGTGTTGCACCTACTGGTGTCATACATGTTACAAACATTAAAGGTCACATATTATGTAAAATACACTTCACCATGTTTCACTAGTCTGTCTGCAAACCCCCAAATGATGAGAAAAGTCCATCCTCTGTCTTCTGCCTGCTCCACTTTTCAGAAAATGTGTGCTCAAACAGGCCGTTTGGAGATTTTCCCTTCATGACATCACAAAGGGCAGTAGCCCCTCCCCCAGGTGGGTGACACTCCCACAGCTAGGTGTTTGTTCTACCCTCTGAGTCTGCCTTCTCAACGTGAACAATAGGACATGGAGCGAGAAAGACCGAGAACGCCCTTCCAGAGAGGGGGCGTGGTCAGACACAGCTCATTTACATATTTAAAGGTACAGACACAGAAACAGTCTGTTCTGAGCAGGGCTGAAATAGAGGGGTTTATAGACATGATCAAATACAGGATCAGAGTGGATTTAGAACAAGAAACTTCACACACACAGGGTTTTTCCTTCAGAGAGAATTCTTTGGTGCCCCCCAAAGAGGTTTTACCCAGCAAAGGAAAATCACGAGCGGCAAAAGGAAAAAAAAAAAAATTCAAATTGCAAATCAAATCTTCTCTGAATGTTAAAAATATCAATACATCAAACGACTGTTGAATAAGCAGAACATAAACTTAAATAAGATGTCTCTGACTTCTAGCAGTCATCTCCCCTCTCATCTGTTTACGCATGTGGCTCGCGCTGGATAGCCAGCTGATTGACTGTTCGTTTCTTTTGATTGGCGAGACGAGACACACCAACATAAATGGCTGCAAACACACACACACACACCGGAACACCAACCACCGCACACACCTGTTTACTTGTAGTGCAACTGTGCGGTCTGTATGGAGCGAGTCGGGAATGCACGTTCAACTTTTCTCCGTTCACTTCCACCGTGTCTGCTTTTATCAACAATCAATAAGTTACCGAGCGTAACGTCAGCCAGCTGTAGTCTGTGAACTTCTCCACACAGACTGTCAAACAGCAAATACATTTTTATTATTTCTCAGTTTCCTGATCTGATCAAATGATCCAAATTATCTGTGACAAATAAATGTACTTAAACAAATGTAAAACTAAAACACAATTTAAAGGTAAAGAGCAGCCATCATAGGAAGAGGGTGAAATGCACTGAGGATGTGACCCCCCCTCTACAATCTCATTACACCCCTCTCCCTCAAAATCCCTCTCCTCCCCTGTTTCACTGTTACAATAAAAAAAAAATCTTTACCAGATCTAATTGTGGTTTCAGTAACTTAAGCATAATGATAATATTATTTATAAAATGGTCAGAAATAACAGGAAATGCACAGATTTCAGGTAATACAAACTCGTAGACTATACTGTTATACGCAGGTCGAACGTTTACTACAGCGAGTATAGTCACCCCCCAAAGGCCCGTTCTGAGCCAGGAAAAACCCTGCACACATGTTTTGAGGAGCTCTGAGACTTATTAACACTGGTTGAAGAGGAGTGATGTGACCTTTAATGTTCCCATTATAACGCTTGTGCTCCCCTGACTTTTTCCTATCTAGAGCCATCCTCAGGTAAACGCTTGAATGTGTCAAATACTTTGGTTTAAGATCAAATACCTGCACTTACAACATCCCCATCAGCTTCAGCTGTACTTAGTGTTTAATGATTCCAAATGTCAGCATGGTAAAATACTAAACTGAGTCTGTAAATGGTTATAATTTGATTTTTTAACATCTCATCAGCATTTTTCATTCAGCAATTCACTCGCATCATCAGAGTTTAAAATTGTCATTGTTTGTCTGCAGCTTGTTCTTTTGAGTTATATTATGGTCTCCAATTTCTCATGATCTAAATGTGTGAAATGTATGCACTGACTGTTAACCATGATCTAATTAACCTTCTTTAGAGAAAGCATGTGCTCATCCTGACCTGAAGTCTGTGAAGAATCAGTTGATTGGTGGTAAGTATTTTATGTCTTATCTTTCCTGTTTCTTCCTACATTATGTTCATTTTATGCAGTCAAGAAAAGAAAACAGTCAACACTTTACAGTTTGTTATAGTCAAAGATTACACAGATAAGAAGGCAATGCTGTTTCCATTAAAACTAGTTAAAACAGCAAAATTGTAGGGACTATTTTTTAAGTGGAAGAAATCTGTTCTAAATCAATAGTAATGTTTACAAGTCAAACCTTAGGCCAAATTATTGATTTGTTCTTCTCATGTAAACATGTAATAAGTGGGATAATAAACAGCAGTGAAGTTGATAAACTGAAATAAAGAAAATCTACTTATATGTCACTTTTAAAACACATTGAAACAACTTTATACAAATACAATTATTATTATTTTTTGCTCCTGACTAAAGATTCCTTGTTACAGAAAGTAAACAATATGGTCAGTTGATAGCAGGAGAGTCTTGGGCATAGACCAACATAGTTACTGTTTGCTGTTTGAATATTTAGAGATGGACCCTGAACCCTGCAGGACGATGGAGGTGGCAGCACTTGGTCGGCCGTTCAGCGTGGGGATGCTGTATGACTGTCGCCAAGATTTACTCATCCCTGGTAAGAATTCACTTGTAACATAACTCAAATGAAACATTAACCCTCTGAGGTCTGAGGCATTTCCCTCTTATTTATTAACTACTGGTCTCCTTCTGTGAAAAGGCAAGTGTAATTTCACCAGAGTCCTTCACAACCATGTAATATACATCTATACAGGACATCCTGGGGGATCAGAATAAATACCCCCAAAATATATACACCAGTAAAACACCACAAATACAAGAGAAAAAAATTAAGTGAAAACTAAAATTCACAGATATGTTCTCAGACAGACATGTTCTCCTGTGTCCTGGTAATCAGGGGAAAGTGAAATAAAAATGAAGATATCACAGATCAAAAACTCAAAACATTTATTTCAGAAAATCCCAAGATGACTTTTGTCTCCATTGTTAGTTTTGCTATGACTGTAAGAAATTATTTATATTTTATTTACCTTTTATTTAAAATATAAATAATTTCTTACAGTAATAACTAAACGACCAATGATGACAAAATGAGTGTCTGCAGTGACCCAGGGGGCCAAATGACACTCACTGACCGTTCACTTCCACCGTGTCTGCTTTTATCAACAATCAATAAGTTACCGACCGTAACGTCAGCCAGCTGTAGTCTGTGAACTTCTCCACACAGACTGTCAAACAGCAAATACATTTTTATTATTTCTCAGTTTCCTGATCTGATCAAATGATCCAAATTATCTGTGACAAATAAATGTACTTAAACAAATGTAAAACTAAAACACAATTTAAAGGTAAAGAGCAGCCATCATAGGAAGAGGGTGAAATGCACTGAGGATGTGACCCCCCCTCTACAATCTCATTACACCCCTCTCCCTCAAAATCCCTCTCCTCCCCTGTTTCACTGTTACAATAAAAAAAAAATCTTTACCAGATCTATTTGTGGTTTCAGTAACTTAAGCATAATGATAGTGTAGGAGCCATAAATGTAAGTTGGTTGTGTATTTGGTGTCATGGGTTGTTTACTGATTTGTTTATTGTTTACGGTCTGCTTGTTACTGGTTACTGATTATATGAGCCGCACTCACCTGTTCACCTGGTTTTTTGGCTTGGATGGAGAGAGAGGGTGAGCGTGGGAAGAGACAGTTTCTGTTGACCGCCACATGATACTGCACTGCGATCACAAGTTGATTTGATGACCCGATAACAGCGGTTGTAGTATCTTGTGTTGCTTTTTTGGAAGAATAAATGACTAAAGCATCTTGGATCTGGAAGTCATTTATAACGACAGCGCGTCACAGCTTCACTCCCGTGTTTAGTCCCTCGCGGCACTCTTTTTTTGACGACCTGCAAAAGGCCGATATAGCTGCAATAGATAATATTATTTATAAAATGGTCAGAAATAACAGGAAATGCACAGATTTCTGTCAAATAAGGTAATACAGACTATACTGTAATACGCAAATATTATTTATATTTATATTATATTATATGTCAAAAGAATTATGGCGGACTTCCTGTTGGGTTTTGACAATGGGTGCCAGAGGATGTTATGTAGATGCTTAATTTACATAAAAAATGTCATGCATGTAGGTGAAAAAAAACCCTATGGAGAGGCATTTTGAAGATTTGAAGGGGGCGCCACTGAGCCATTTAGCCACGCCCACTCAGTTAACCCATATGGAACGATTAGGTTTCCCACTGGGATAATGAGTATGAAGTCTAGAACACACTGACACTGAGTTTTTTTTCGAACGGATGAACGCTCTCGGACGAGTTCGTTCAAATAGGTAGCGCAAAATCGTCTTATTTTGAAGTTGAAGTGAAAATAGCGGACTGTGTGGTCATAATGTAACTTTTTGTTCGTCTCACGAAGATACATATGCGTACAAAGTTTTCATGTCTGTAGGTTAAGCGCAGTGCCCTGGCTGACATTTGGGGGTGCCATAGAGTCATTTACCACGTATACCAAACCACTTTCATACGTAAATTTCTCGCGGGGGCTGAATTTTGGGGAAATTTTGGTGAGTTTTCACGGACGTTCAGGCCCCCAAAGATGTGTTTGAATTGCCTGAAAGAAAGAATTTTGATTCCTTGGGTTACAATAGGTGCTCGGGCACTAATTAAAACCGCAAGCAGTGATGAAGGGCCCTCGCACCCCTGTGTGTGTCGGACTTTGATGCCTGCCGGGGTTTGATGTATATCGGAGTTGTGTTACAGCTGCTAAGTGTGTTGCTGCAGTGGTGTCTTTAGCCGTTTTCTCTTATGCACTCCTGAAAATATGTAGATAATTTCAGGAGGACTGCTCTGGCTGTTCACACATGCACTGCACAGCTGGAGACTACTCCTGTCAGACAGGAGGGGGAGCAGGGGGACTGCTGAGGTGAGAACTTTGAAAGGAACTCCAAATTTAAATTTAAACCTCTGATGTTTTAAAAAAGCGGTCAGAAAATAAGATTGCAACAATAAAGTGTGTTGCGCTCTTAAAGAAGCATCTCTCAGTCATCATAATCATTAAGACCTGCAGTTTTATTGTTCTACTGAATCACACGATCAACAAAATAGTGGAGAAGAACATACTTACAAACAGAAAACATAATTCAGCCATTCAATTATTTGCAAAGAAATCATATCGGTCACATATACACACTATGCACTGTGCAGCAGTCACAGAATACAAACGTTATTCCCCCTTGCAATTGGCTTGAAGTCAATTCCTCTGGAGAATATGCTACTGCTTGTCACATCAGCTCACTCGGACTTTAGTGGGAAAAAATAATAGGGGTCTGGCAGGAGAAACTCCAGGTGAAGTCCAAATGAAAAATGTGTTTAAATCCTGAGCTCAATGGCAGCTGTTTAAAAATAAAAATTCTATTTCAAAGGTTTAAAGTTTTTAAGTTTCCTGGAGATTTTCTTGTCCTTGTAAAGTAACCAGGGGTTGACATTAAGTTAAATTTGCCCCGTGAGTCTACTTAATGTGATATTAATATGAGGCTGTGATAGATCTGGAATCTCTCCTTCTTTCTTCTCTGTGAGAAACTCTTCATCTTTTGATCTTTACTTTAGGAGCTCTCTTAAGGGCTAACATGTTTGTGAATTACTTTTATCTTCAGCAGGATCTAGTCTTTAACTTTAACGTGTTCCAGCTCCTCCAGCTGTCTGTCACTGTGGATCAAACTTTTCTCTCTTCTCTTTTCGTCCTGCTGTCACTCTCCACTCTTCTGGTGATTTTTGTCCTTTGAATGCTGATTTAAGCCCGGCTTTTGTCGGGATCTGATGGTTTGGTTTTTTTTATTAGAGAAAACCTGCGCTAAAGTCTGTGTGCGAGTTTACGTTTCAAGAGTAGCGAGCGCGCTCGCGGGAGAGACAGCAGTGAAGCCATCGGCTGCCTTTCAACTGTGACACACGAGCGCTTATGATACGGTGATGCCGTAGCAGTTAGTAACGCAACATTTTTTAAATAATTACTGACAAAACACCAGTATGACAGGATATCGCTGTGAAATTGAGAACGTGGCAGTATTTTAACTGGCCTGAGCAGGCCATTTGGCCCAGACTCTGTCAATCATTCAGCGGGCCAGTTATAATGTCGAGCCCTGGTAACTGTTTTTATTTTTTCTGCTTTGTCTCAATATTTTCTGGATCATTTGAGATGGAGCATAATGTAAAATACATTTTAGATGCCATACCATATCTAAGAATGCATCTGAACTGGATTTTATGTAGGTCTTGGCATGGTTAATATGCGTAAAAATTGCCATGCATGTAGGCGAAAAAAACTTCTATGGGGAGGCCTTTAGAATGGTTAACAGGGGCGTGCCGCGATATCTAAGTTTGACCGTACGCCGTGGCCACGCCCTTTTATGTAGAATCGTGTGGAGCACAACGGGAGATCATCAACATGTCTGGAACAAAGTGACACTGAGTTTGAGATGATAGGATGAATGCCTTCGGTCCGTTTTTCAATACCCTTTTGGCGCTGAATTAAATTACCTATAGTCAGGAGTACTGGGGTTGCTTGTTGTCTTGGTTCCAGGAACCAATCTCTTGATATAAGAATTTTGTGAAAAAGCAACAGAGGATATGAACGTGGAAATTTACTTCTGGAACCAAAGCCACCAAAAAAGTGTTACTGTTGAGTTCTATAAGGTTTATCAACAAGAAAACAAGTTTTAAGCATTTGTCATTTTTTTGGTTTCCAGACATACTAAAGAATGCAAAGCCTCAAATAAATAACACATGAGACTTTGTGTAATACTTTCAGTCCTTTAACATGTATAGTATTACTAGAGGTTGGTCCAAGCCCGAGCCAGACCTAACTTTAAGCTTTACCAAAAATGAAAGTTTTAAGCCTACTCCTAAAAGTACAGAGGGTGCCTGCCTCTCGGACCGTAACTTGTAGATGATTCTAAAGGATAGGGGCCTGATAACTGGAGGCTCTACCTCCAACACTACTTTTAGAGACTCTAGGGACCACGAATGGTAATGTTCTGTGGGGATAAAGTAATAATAAACCAATACAGCCAAAAATAAACAAGTTTTCACTGCAATGTGTAGTTATAGTATTTATACATATATCTAAATATATACAGGTATATATATGTATACAGGTGTATATTATATATATATATATATATATATATATATACTGGTTTGGAAACGTTATTTCAGTCAATTTTTTTTCCCCCTTATATAATACTAATTGGTGTTGCATTGTACATCGTTGGAAAGCCTGATTGGTCACCGTTACAACGAGGTATAACTTGTAAGGATCGGGCATTTGTGGAATGAGCAACACAGCTAAACGTGTGGGCAGCACCCAAAAGAAATGAGCCAAAATCTGCAATATTCTCTTGGTGGTATTCACTCCTGTTTTGAGTTTCTTGGTGGATTGGATGATTGCACTCTCTCACAGTAGTAAGGAAAAAACAAAACATATTGGCCATTTTTACACTTTATTCATTTTACACTGCTCAGGACCTCAGTAGCGTGTGGAAGGTCCATTCGCAGCCAACAGCTTGGCACCTCCTCTTCATGCTGGTCACCAGCTTGGTCACATTTTGCTGTGGGATGGCATCCCATTCCTCAACCAGGAGTTGTTGAAGATCAACCAGCGTGGCTGTGTTGGTCACTCTAGCATGTACAGCACGTGCAAGCTGATCCCACAAGTGCTGTCAATTAATTGCCAATCATGTGCCAGTTATACACCTGTAACTGGCACACACCTGGCAGCACTTGAAGCTCAAAACAGGAGTGAATACCAACAGAAGAACATTGCAGGGGATTATGGCTCATTTTTTTAGGGTGCTACCCACATGTTTAGTGTGTTGCTCATTCTACGAATGTATGATCCTCACAAGTTATACCTCGTTGTAAAGGTGACTAATCAGGTTTTCCAACGATATATAATAAAACAACAATTACTATTTTTAAAGGGGTGAAAAAAGTGATGGAAGTAACCTTTCACAACTTTTTTTAGGAGTTTATAAATCAGAATCAGAATCAGGTTTTATTGCCATGTTCATTTACACGTACAAGGAATTTGACTTGGTGTATTGGTGCTAAACAATTAACAGGGAAATAAAGCAGAACTAGCAACAACTTAAATAATACAGAATAAGAAGATATTACAATGTAAAATAGAATTAAAGAATTTAAAAAAATATAATAAATAAAAAACACAAAATGTACAAAAGGTGCAATGTAGGAGCTGAGCAGTGGACAAAGAGAAAAAAATCTTACAGTGTATGTAACCTACTCACAGAGTGCATGTAAAGAAAAAAAAAATAAAGTCCAGTGGGTTGTAATGTAACCCATAAGAACAGTTTCAGCCTTCACATTACTTTGATATTTTTATGATATACATACATATATAGTTTCTACAGGTTACTATTCTCTTACTACAAAGCTATGAATGATTGAGCATTAATGTTTTTAATTAATTTAATTTAATAATTGTTTTTTAGAGAGGTTGGATAACAGGGTCAACAGTTTTTAAAGTTAGTCACTGATTTTATCGCCCAAAGTTTCTTTTTAATTCCCTCTTAGTCTCTTTTGCCAATGAAACGTATCTCACAATTAAATCTGCCATGTTTCTCTCCCTGTTTAAAGGAGGAGACACTACACTTAAAAGAAATATATTCTAAACTCAAGATATGATATGTATGGGGCGCTGGTGGCGCAGTGGTTAGTGCATGTATGGAAGCTATAGTCCTATAAGCGGGCGGCCCAGGTTCGAATCCAAGCTGTGGCTCTTTTCCCGCATGTCATTCCCCGACACTGTCCACTGTCCTATCTCTCAAATAAAGGCACAAAAAGCCCAAAAAATAAATCTTTAAGATACGATATGTATCACACAATACCACAATACCATTTTATACAATTTTCCAATCTTTATAAGAATTTTCAGTCAGTGAATGGAAAAATGTGATTTGTTTTATTTCAATGTTCTCAATAATATTGCAAAGTTTTCCTTTTCCTTATTTTTCTTTATAAATCTAAGCATTACTTTTTAATTTAGATTTAATTTCAATAGTAACTACTTTAACAGTGCTGTTTTCTTTCTTTTTTTGTCAGACCAAATCCTTAAAGGTCCCATATTCTGCTTTTTCTGGTTTTATCTGCTCTTTAGTGTGTTTTCCAAGTGTCCTGTGCATGTTTAGGCACATCTATGTGCAAAAATTCAAAGTCCACGGAAACGTGGCTTCTCCTACCTCCTCCTGTTAGCTGTAGCATTAGCTGCATGTAACGCTCGGTTCTAGCCCCCCTCGATAAAAATGTTCCAGTCCGACGTCATTGTCAGTGTGAGATCACTGATCTAAGCCCATTGGCTCGTTGTGGCCCAGCAGCTCATGTTGCAATTTCCGAGACATGTGCTGAGCAACTGACCAATAACAACAGAGCGGATCTGCAGACCAATCAGAGCAGACTTGGCCCACGTGGGGTCTAACAGTGTGGGCTCAACAGAGTGTAGCTGACGGACTCAGAGTGTAGAGGGAGCAAGGAGGAGCAGTTCATGAAAACAGACACTTTTTTTTGGACTTTATCTATTGTGAACGTACAAAAGGAGGAACATAGATTAAATATATGAACCCCAAAAAGGGCAGAATATGGACTCTTTAAAACGTTTTCGGCATGTCGTATTCTTTGGGGCTCTTGTTAAGGCTGCTTGTTTATAATATGTTTTGTAGTGTTGAGTTTCACAGTGTAAAATGTGTTGGTGTGTTGGGCTTGAAATTTATATCAAATAATTGGTCGTAATGTTCCTAAAATTAATAATAATAATTATTATTATTATAATAGTACATTTTATTTAAAGGCGCCTTTCAAAACTCTTAAGGTCAACTTACAGAGCAGAGATAAAAACAACAAAGTAACAACACAACGATAAAATTAACATTAAAAACACAAAATGACGAAAAATACTAACAATGTAAGGTTATGTCCACAAGGGGGCGCCAAAATCAACACAAACCAAAAGCTCCTCATAGGGGCGTTACATAAAAAAAAAAAGGAATCTTTTGGGCATGAGAATTTTCTAAAACATTTTAATCTCAGGACACAGATTCAACTCCTATGTGGATTATAATGCTATTTACTGCTCTGCTTTAACACAGCATCAGCTCTCACTTACAAGATGCTATTGATACTGTACAAGACACTTTTTTCTGAGTTAAAATATATCTTTACTACCAATAAATATAACATATGAATATGTTATATATTATTTGGCAATAAGATTGTCTTATTTTGTATACAAAATCCAAGCCTTTTTATAACATAACATAAAACAGTTTAACTTCTTTTCTTTTGCAGGCTTGACCCTGTGGGACCGTGATGACCTGATGAAGGATGTTGCAGAACGACCACAAAACTATAATGAATTTGAGATAGTTGCCTCTGAATCAATTGAGGATAAATCCTCTGCACTTGATGTTAAAGCATCACTGAAGGCAAGTTTCTTGTGTGGACTCATTCAGGTAGATGGATCAGCGAAATACCTGAACAACAGTAAGACTTCCAAAAACCAAGCCAGAGTAACACTGAAGTACAAAGCAACTACAAAGGTCCGGGAACTGTCGATGAATCATCTTGGAAGAGGAAATGTGAAACATCCTTATGTTTTTGACAAAGGAATAGCAACGCACGTAGTCACAGCGATTCTTTATGGGGCACAAGCCTTCTTCGTTTTTGACCGAGAGGTTTCTCAAAATGAAAATCAACAAGACATTGAGGGAAACTTGAAGGTGATTATTAAAAAAATACCTTCCCTTTCTATAGAGGGTGAAGCTTCACTGGAAATGGAAGAAAAGGAAAAAGCTAATGTTAAGAAATTCTCCTGCAGTTTCTTTGGAGACTTTTCCCTTCAGGAATCTCCTACATCGTTTCAGGAAGCAGTGCAAGTCTACCAAAGTCTGCCTAAACTGCTGGGAGCCAATGGAGAAAACGCAGTACCAATGAAGGTCTGGCTGCTGCCTCTGACAACTTTAGATTCTTCTGCCGCTAAACTTGTACGTCAGATAAGTATAACACTAGTACAAGAATCACAGAGTGTCCTGGAGGACCTCAATGAGCTGGAAATGAGGTGTAACGAGGCACTGAGAACCACCACAGCAAAGCAGTTCCCACAGATCAGCAAAAAGATGAAAACTTTTAAAGAGATGATCTCTGGATTCAAGCTAGAATTCCAACAAACATTGGCAAAGAAACTTCCATCAATCCGTGGAGGAGGAGAAGAGGAGGCTGTGCTCGCAGATGTCCTGAGGAAAATACACTCTTCTCCATTCAACAACAAAAACCTGACTGAGTGGATGGATTGTAAAGAGAGAGAGATCTGTCTTTTAAAGTCTTTTAACAACATGATAAAGAACACCAAGACTGTTCCATCCCAAAATATTGATCAGGAAATTTTCAGTTCAGAATATGCTGTGTGTTTTGTTTTCACCTCACTGGGAAAAGATGAACCATACCTCTCAGCTTTGTCAAACTACTTAAGACAAACACCCAAACCAGAAAACACTCAAGATCCACATACTCTGGATGTAGAGAAGGAACAATGGTATCTTTCCCATGAAGTGACAGATTCAATGAGGGAAAAAGCAAAGCTCTTCAGTGACTTTGCAGAGGCCAACCAGGAGAACAAGAACATTAAGTTCTTGACAGTTGGAATAACAAATGAGACACAGAAAGGTTCGAGCATCTACCTTTATAAAGAGGGCTTTTCTGTCACTGAGAACTTTGAGCCGCCTTCAAAGCCTGAAACAGTCACAGTAAGAGACGTAAACCACAACAGTGTGACACTGAAGATTGATCCACCAAAGTTTGGATCAGAGAGCATCACCTCCTACTCTGTTGAGTACTGTGTCAGTGGAGAGGAAGGATGGAAACAACAGACAGCATCAAAACCTGAAGAAGTCACAGTGGGTGATCTGAGTCCAAACACAGAGTATAAGATCAGGTGCAGAGCAGTGACCTCTGTAGGTGTTGGACCAGCCAATCATGTCAGTGATTCCATTAAAACCTTACCCTGCAGCCCTCCTGGAAAACTTCAAATTGAATCAAACTCAAGTGAGATATCAGTGAGCTGGAAGAAACCGGCTGAGCTTGGACAAGACGTCCACATTTTGAGCTACATCGTGGAGTACGCCGAAACAAACAAGAGAACAGACAAAGAGGAGGATCTCCAGTGGAAGCAAATGATAACAGGAGCTGAGAAGACGATCATTTCAGGGCTTCAGTCAGAGACAGAATATGTTGTCAGGGTCAGATGTGATTGTGGTGCAGCTGGCAGAAGCAAGGAGAGCATCACTGTGAAAATCTGCACAAGTAGACGTGAATTTGCGAGTCTTGCAGAGTACCTCAAAAACATTAGCAAAAGGAAACTCTCTGCATCACCCTCAGTTTACAAACTGCCTCTGGAAAAAGAAGACATTGACATAGATGGATGTCGGAGGTTTAACTTGGGCAAAGAAAGCATGAGACAAAATCGCACAATGATGCTGATGGGAGCGACCGGATCAGGAAAGTCCACTCTGATCAATGGAATGATCAACTACATTGTTGGAGTGAAGTGGGGGGATGACTTCCGATTTAACTTAATTGAAGAGGATGAGTCCAGATCACAAACTGAAAGCCAGACTTCTGAAGTCACTGTGTACAAAATCAACCACCAGGAAGGGTTCAAAGTTCCTTTCTCTTTGACTATAGTCGACACTCCAGGGTTTGGGGATACAAGAGGAGTTGGGCGAGACAGGGAGATCACAGACCAAATTCGGAGACTTTTCACCTCTGACAATGGAGTTTGGGAGATTGATGCAGTGTGTTTTGTTACTCAGGCCTCTCTCGCACGACTTACAGCAACACAACGATATGTGTTTGACTCAGTTCTCTCCATTTTTGGAAAAGATGTGGCAGAGAATATTCAGATGCTGGTGACTTTTGCAGATGGCAAGCAGCCCCCCGTTCTTGAGGCTATAAATGTGTCAGGGGTCCCATGTCCAAAAAATGACATAGGGCTTCCAGTTCACTTCAAGTTCAACAACTCTGCATTATTTGCAGACAACAGATCCATCAGTGACAGGGCCTGTGATGAGGATTCTGATGATGATGGCAACTTTGATGAAATGTTTTGGAACATGGGTACCAAAAGCATGGAGAAGTTCTTCAATGCATTGGTTAAAATGTCAACTAAAAGCCTGCTGATGACCCAAGAGGTTCTTAAAGAAAGAAAACGGCTTGAAATCGCTGTTGAAGGTTTGCAACCACAAGTAAAAATTGGATTAGCAAAACTTGAAGAAATTAAGAAAACCACAGAAAAGGTCAAAGAACAAGAAACAGCCATGACTAAAAATGCAAACTATGTCATTGAAGTTGATGTTATTAGGCCAGTTCAAGAACACCTGACTAAAAAAGGAGAGTACATCACCAACTGCCAGAAATGTTCAATGACATGCCACTACCCCTGTGGAATAGCAGATGATGATAGAAAACACGGCTGTTCATCAATGGATAGCAAGGGGATGTGCAATGTCTGCCCTGGCAAATGCATTTGGAGTGTGCATTTCAACCAAACATACCGTTGGAAGTATGTTAAAGTGAAAGAGAAGAAGACCCTGCAAGAGCTAAAGGACAAGTATGAAAAGGCTAACAAAGAGAAGATGACTGTTCAGGAGGTGATTGAGCAGCAGGAGGAAGAAATCTCTCAACTTCAAGACATGATAGTGTCTCTGATGGATCAGTCCGCTAACTGTATCACACGTCTGCAAGACATCGCCCTGAGGCCCAACCCTCTGACCACTCCACAGTACATCGACTTGCTGATTGAAGGAGAAAGGTCAGAGGCCAAAGAGGGTTATATGGCTCGAATTAGGGCTTTGGAGGAAATGAGAGACAAGGCAAAAATCATCTATAAAGTTTCCAAGCGAAAAACACTTGATGAAGAAGTGACAGAAGAAAAAGAAAAAGAAAAGAAAAAGAAAAACCCTGTCCAGAGATTTTTTAATTATTTGGGATTTTAGGGAAAGAATTAAGATCTGCGGTACTAGCAGAACTGCGGACGTATTCCCATCAATCTAGAAGTTTAGCTCTGGTTTAAACTTTTAAAATAACCTCAAAGTACATCAGAGCATTGGTATGGTCATTCAAAACAAATGTATTCATGTGTTCATATTCATAGTTGATAAAAAATGTATTTCCTTTGTATCACATTAAGTGCATTTACATATACTTCAGTACCCCGTTTATGATCCTTAACCCCGTTTTAATCGTATTTGGGATCTGGTGTTTACATGCACGCAGAGAAACCTGGTTCTTCACATCCCTGTGTACAGTACATGATACATGATAGTGTCTGATCTGATTTCTGATTACTTCATATTATGTGTGCAGGCATCTGTGATGTTTATTTTAACAACACAAACTGCATCAATTCAGAAATCTGAGAAAATTGAGACCATTGTGAATTATTGCAAGCTAAGCACTATAAATGCCAACATGGCGTTGCAGATATGACGTATCCACCTCATTTCCAGCAATAGAAGAGAGCGACAGTTAAAGTCAAACATTTCCTCCCCTCAGACTAGTGTCAGCCTGTCACTGCTACCCCATGGCACAAGGGAGAAATTGGTGAAGATACCCAGTCGTGACTGACGGGACAGGGTTGTAGTAATGTTTCTTCAGTACTGCCGTAACCTGACTTACATTTGTGTTGGGAAACCAGCGTCCTGTAAACCTGTCCACCACAGACTTAAATAGGTCAACATTTTGACGCTTCCTCTTGTCTAAACGTTAAATTGTAAATTAAATTTTCTTATTACCGAAAGACAAAACTTAGTTTTTTCGTCACTCCATTCAGTAAGACGCTCTCATTGCCACCGCCATGTTTGTTTTACTGATTTGTCACTTGGCTGAGGCAGCTGGTCAGAGACCGGGGTGAGGTGTCTACATGCCACAGTATCCAGTTTTCTGCCGGTGTTCTCCAGGTGACAAAATCAGGTTTCTCAAATCAGGATAAGGGCTAATCCAGGTTAATATATTATATTTACATGCACAAACACAAAAACCGGATACTTTAGTCCATGTAAACACACTTATTGATGTGTATGTTAAGGCCTGTATATGTACATGTTAAGATGAATATTGCTTCGTATTCAAATCACTTAATGTCCCTCATGTTGATTGAATTTGTTTTCACTGTTTTTACTTTATGATTTTGTGGTATTGATGAAGCTGTTGCAGGTTAGAACTGAATTTGTTGATTTTGGACAAGTGTTTCTTAATGATAACATGTGTAACATTGATCAGGACATTGGAGCGCAAGTCATTTATGAGATTGATCACTTAGGAAAAAAGGACATCTGCCACTGAAGTGAAGACTGAGCTGCCTGTACTAGTGTCAAACATGTCAGATTTTAGCATCAAATCTTAAACTAAATGCATTTTGGGTGTTTTGTGTTGTTATATTGCCGTGTTTCTCTTTGCTTGAAAAAAAAAAAAAAGAATAATCTCAGAATTTGGTTACTAAGAAGTTAATTGCAGAAATGGTTCAAAGTATGTTGTACTGAAAACAGTGCTTTATTTTTTGATTGTTATATTAAAGATGCTGTAATAAATTGATTTAATTGGCTTTATCTTCTATTTGTTGATTTATTTCAGTATCATCAGATATGTTTTTTTGTCTCATTATATCCTCTCTGCCTTTAATAACACTTTTTCTACAGAGTACACACATTACTCCAGGTTTCTATAGTTCCAGGTTGGACGAGTTTAGGAGAGCTGGTTATTGTCCAAAACCTCACAATGTAGTTCGATTTCAATTCTTTGGGTCACGATTCGATTTGATATTGATCAATATGCTTCGATATCGATTTGATAATACATACAGATGACAGGAATACCCAGATAACTCATCACAGTACCTTTACCGTACCTGATATTTGTTCAATAATTATGTGTTCATTGTTTGTATTGGTTTAGAACAAACTGACTCCATGAATTTAATTGTTGCATTATTCTTTAATAAACAAAGAATAAAACTTTAAAGTACAGTATGGTCTAAAGTTCACAGTTGTGCCTTACCTGAATTTACAGCGCCCCCCAGTGGAGAGGGGTGTCACTACAATGAAAAAGATTGACTTCCCTGAATTGATATTGAATTGGGAAAATAATAATTGCAATGCACTGATGAATCGATATTTTTAACCAGCCCTAGAGTTTAGGTTCACTTAGCTAAAGTTTTAAACTCAGTAAAGAAACCAAACAAACATTAATGATGACTCATGTTTACCAAAGTTTATCCATTAAGGTTACAAACCTTACATTTTAATGAATATCTTTATTCTGTCAATGCATTATTTTAACTCTCACATGGCCACCTCTACAGTCTGCCCTGAGGTGTCCAATGACTGACACCCTCACAAGCTTCTACGCCGATATACTGTGTAAAAAAACATAAAATATAATGCAAATACTTTATTAATGTACTAACTTTGTTTTTAATGATAGAAAAAACATGCTCAACTCCCTTTCAAAGTAAAACAACTGGGTGCTGAATACCAAAAAATGTTCAAACAAGAAAAACAATTAGGACAGCACTCCAAAATTGTATTTTAATTATCACACAGATGTTTCGAGCAGACGCTCTTCTTCAGCGTGTAACAGGCAATTTTGTCAAATATACGCAGGTGGGACTAATTTAGACTTGTCCAAAAGAAGTACTGGTCCATCCAGCAGAGGGATTCTCTACCACACCTCTTTCAACACCAAAAGTCAATGAGCGTCTATAACTCGAGGTACAAAGGCTGTGTAATATAAATACATAAAAACACAAAATGACAAGAATACGTTTTATTCCAAGATTAGAAGACAAAGTTTTTGGGGTTGTTTTCACAAGTTTTTTTATTGAGTTTTGAGACATACAGATAAATGTTTGACGGGTTCTTCAGTAAAATAAGAGTGATTTTAAATTAAAAAAAACAAAGAAAAGACAACTAGAACATAACACAAACTAAGCTTGGCCGTTCAACGAATTACAAAAAGAAATAAAGACAGTATGTATTGAGGTAACTAAAGCACATTATACAGAAGGGCTATAAAAGACAAAAGAAGGAAAACCGATCAAGTATGTAAACTTGTAACGTGCACACACATACATAGATAAGCAGAGACATACACATAAAAGAGGGATGTACACTGACCACTATTATGAGTCATCCAGTAAATGCAGACCCTTAGCTAACGTATTTGAAAAAAGGCCCCATGTTCTATGAAATCTTTTGGTTGAACCTTTTGTTCCACGTCTTATCTTCTCCATTTTAATAAAGTACAGAACATCTCTGAGACATGCAAAGTCAGAGGGAGGAGTGGGTGATTTCCAACGCAGCATAATCTGTCGTCTTGCTAGGAGTGTCACAAATGCCACCAGATCTGTCTTATATTTTGGAAGCTGTAGGTTAAGAGAGGGAACTAGTGATGTGAAAAGCAGTTCTTTTCAGTGTACTGAATCAGTAGAATCAGTTCAGTAAAGTGATTCGTTCAAATGATTCGTTCAAAAGATTCGTTCAGTACTTCTCTGCAGCTCTGTCTGTGAATCAGAATTTAATAAACTGAAACACGGCCGAACGTTTAGTTCTGCTGGCGATCGTACTGAGAACAGCCGGTGGTGAATAATAAACCAATGAGCTGAGAATTTAGTTGATAAAGCTACAGTTTGCAAACTGAAAGCTGCTAAAACAATCACATTTATTTTCCCCGACCGTTCTGTTCAATACGTTCAGAACACAAATCACTGACTGACTGACTGAGAGGGAGAGAGAGACTCGGAGGAGGAGCTCTCGTTCAGTTCGTTCAGTTCGGTCACTGAACGAGCGAGACTGCGAGTCACCAGCCTCAGTCACACACACACACACACACACACACACACACACACACACACACACACACACACACACACACACACTGTACTGACTGAAACATGATCGTTAGTAGATGTTAAAACAGTCAGCTGAGTGAAATTAAGTTGGATATAAAAGCCGTTTGTAAACTGACAGCAGATATAAAAAGCACAAACATTTTCTCGACACCTAAATGTTAAATAATATATTTTCTACTTCCTCGATTTTGGAGACATGAGAGGGAGAAGTAGGGGCGGGCTTTAGAGACTCAGAGCTCCTGACCGACTCCTCCTATTGGTTCAGTCAGTATGTATCACTGACATGAGAGGAGAGGGAGGGCGGGCTTTGAGAGACTCTTACAGTCTGGAGAGAGAGAGACACGAGACGGGAGAGAGGAGAGAACAACTGAAGTTGAGAAATGAACGACTCTTTTCAGTAAGTGATTCAGTTCAGTTCATTCACCCAGATGATTCGTTTGTTTTGAACGAATCGTTCATGACCGACACATCACTAGAGGGAATGCCAAAACAAGCTGTTATAGCAGACGGCCTGACGGGGATCTCTAAACTTTTAGAAATTGTTTGGAAGATTTCTGTCCAAATTGTAACTAGACGGCAGGACCATAACATGTGGCTGTATGATGCTGGTGCTTGATGGCATCTGTCACAGGTGGGATCAATATTTCCATAGATTTTTGCTAATCTGACTTTAGTGAAATGTGTACGATGGACAATTTTGCATTGAATTAGTCCATGTCTAGCACAAAATGAAGAGGAGTGGAGTCTACGCAAAATTACCTCCCACAGGTCATCAGTAATCTCTTCGCCCAAGTCCTCCTCCCATTTGATCTTAAAGAGTCCATATTCTGATCTTTTTGGGGTTCGTATATTTAATCTATGTTCCTACTTTTGTACGTTCACAATAGATAAAGTTCTAAAAAAGTGTCTGTTTTCATGAACTGCTCCTTCTTGCTCCCTCTCCGCTCTGAGTCCGTCAGCTGCACTCTGTTGAGCCCACACTGTTAGACCCAAGGGGCAACCTCCGGTCTCGAAAAATGAAGCCTATGCGGAAGTACAAAAAACTGCAGTTCCTCGAGGTTCCGCTTGAGGCTGGCTGCAGAAGCGCCGGAAGTGCCATAAGCCCACAGCCAAAAAAGCCCGTTTTTACCACAGGAATCAACATGTTTACAGCCTGGTTCAAAAAACGAGATATATCTGAGAAGTTGACGGCCCCTTCTCCTCACACTGTGGGGGGGGTGAATTTTTTTATAACTCATCGGATTTTATTCTATTAAGGAAAACGACTATGCCCATATTTGGTTGTGTCAGATTTGATTGACAGCTCTGCGCGGTCAGCAGGTCAGGAGGCTAACAGCTTGATCCGTCTGATTTCTCCTCTTTCTTACTTCGTTTGGAGAGTTTGTTTAACACATATCTGACAACATACATGGCTTGCTGTGCGGTTAACAGACCATCCAACAAGTTGATGCTTCAGTTTTTTTCGGTAAGTGATATAGTAGTGTTATATTTACTGCTTACTCATGTGTTTATATTTACGGACCTAGCTTGTTTAGCGTTAGCTTGTAAACCAGTCGGCTAACTGTGTAGCTCATTATTTACATTATTTACGGTCAATGGTTTAGAAATGTTTGTTGTTAAGATGTTGTTGTTGAAAATAATGAGTTTGTGTGATGTTAGAAGCTAAAGGTTCACCTCGGTGGTTATCTGACGTTATGATGAATGTTATACTCCACCTAAATGTGGACATTAAAAAACAAACTTTGTGTAGTAATTATCCGTCAGTAACATAAACTGAACTGAACCTAATGTGCTGTGTAGGTTATAGAGGATGACATTAAAGTTACATGGTTGATGTAGTGTCTTAAGATTTGAGCAAACTGTTAACAAATAAAAAAAATTCACTTTGTAAGAGCATCTGTAACCATTAAGAACTATATTAATAACCATATTAATTTTCACTGAACTCATACACAGAATATAGCTGTAGAAATATAAAATATAAATAACATATGGAATGAAAATAAGATTTAAAGCACATAGATATAAAGTATAAGAAATAGTTTGAAGAATACAGCCATGTACTGAGCTCATGTTAATAATAAATGAGTTACTGTATGTTCTGTACTAAAGCACAGAGAGTTGGGACCTGTTAATGATTTAAATAATTCAGGTTATATTTGTTTCATGTTAAGATGAAGTACTATCCACAATAAACTGCTTAATTTTTCCTCACAAAATCTGAGACAATTTGATGTGGAATATCATTGTGTGAGTGAGAGAGCTGAAAACAGCATGATTACAATAATGTTTATCTTCTTAACTTTGAATAGATGTTGATTACCTGAATACTGTACCTTTGTTGTCTGGGTAGTACACTGTTGAATTTATAAATGTGCTCTTACACACAGATGAATACAGAAAAATAGATGAGAACAAAAAAATGATTTAATGAATAACTGATATTTTCTCTCTTTCTTTGCCATCCTGAAGACCCCTCACTAAAAGTCCATGTTCTCCTGGATCCATGTCACATGCTCGAGCTTCTTCTGAATGACTTTTCAACAGTCGAAGTTCTGCTGAGAGAAGATGGCCAGCAGATAAGACAGCAGTACATGAAGGAGCTCCACAGGCTTCAGGAGGAGGAGGAGGGTTTGCACCTTGGAAGACTGTATTCATGCTGTTCAAATAAAACTAGATCTCCTCCAAACAACTTGCA